ATTGGGGACATAGAATGTACAGAACTTCAAAACATACTAAATCTATGCAGTATGGGTGAGGAAAGAGGCAAAGATGATAGAAATATGATCAAATGATGGTAACAATAGTGGTACCACCAGCAAAAATTGGTAAGTGGGAGAGCGACAAGTTTTACAGGGAAGGTGAGTTCATTTTGGGACGAGCTGAGTTTGAGGTGTCAGTGGGACATCCTAGTGGACTTATCTAGGAGACAGTCAAAAACCAGAATTAGTACAGAATTTTAGATATGGAATTCATATCATTTTGATGCCATAAAGGAAGCCATGTGGGGCAGCAGTAGACAGAGCACTGGCTGGCCTTGGATTCAGGAAGACCTGAGTTCAAATTCGGCCTCAGACATTTGACATTTATTAGCTGTGTGTCCCTAGCCAAGTCACTTCACTCCATTGCCTCACAAATAAATAAATAAACCAACAAATAAACAAACAAATAAAAAGTGAAAAAAATAAAGGAAGCCATGGAAATGCCCAGGAATCAGGGAGTTAAGAGACAAAGGAGGGCAAGGACAGAGCCCATATTTAAGTTTATGGAGCATTTCTCTTTTTGCTTGTTCTCAAGGGCCTAATTACTTTCTTGGTGAGTGAGGAAATGGGAGGTCTTAGCTTAAGATTTTGAATTAGACCCTTAGTGTGTTAGGTGCTATAAAACTAATTCTCCAAAAATAAGTAAAGCAGCGCTTAATCTCCTAATTCCCTTCCATAAATCCACATTTTTGCCCTCTCTTATCTGGCATACATTCCCACTGAATGGTCCTCAAAGTAACAGGTTTATTCCACGTGGTAGAAGAGTATAAAGTTCCATAGATGCTGATATATGTTTTTCCTTTGTCCTAATTCAGGTGCACTTTTTTACCCCAAGGAAGTGGCCCAAGCTCCACCATGCACACAGAAGTTTCTTTTCTTCAACCTTTCAGTCATCACCCAAGATGAGCAGCTGATGATGGCCAAACTTGATCTGAGGTTGGGGCTTAATGCTTACAATGCCCTGCAACAGGACCTGGAGGTAATGGTGTCTCTAGTCCAAGGGCCTGCCCTTCAGCCAGACAAAAAGCTCGTATTGCGGTATCTTCCCTGGTCTCAAGGTGTTCTTCATGTTGACCTTCTGGATGTGGTTAAGAAATGGAACTCCAACCCCCAGCATAACCTGGGATTGGTCCTAGAGTTGTTGCCAAAAGGGGGTGATGACCCTACAATGACAATATATGCTCAGGATACCTGTGACAACTGGAGCCAGTCCATTCAGGCCTCTCTGATGGTAGTGACTCTAACCCGTCAGGAATGCCCCCGCTTTCCTCACTTTCTCAGAAGGAGGAGGGCCACTGTTCCAAGTATGGAATCTACCCGTAAGCGCCTCTGCCAGCGTCACCAGATGGTCATCAACTTTGAAGACCTGGGTTGGCACAAGTGGATCATTGCTCCCAAGGAGTTTAGAACCAACTACTGCAAAGGAGATTGCCCTTTGTCACTTATGTCCTTCTTTAACAGCTCCAACTATGCCTTCTTACAGACTCTCATGAATTCTAGGACCCCCGAAGTCCCCAAAGCTGCCTGTGTCCCCACAAAACTATCACCCATTTCCATGCTTTACTATGATAGTTATGGCAATATCATCCTTCAACACCACGAGGGCATGGTGGTTGATGAATGTGGTTGTGGGTAGCCAAGTGTGTGTAAGGTAAACTATAGGTGTACATGATAGTCCCAAAGCCTAATAAACCTATTTACCATTTAGTTTTCTTATCTCTAGGATCTGACATCACAGTCAACTTCTTGGAACTTTAATCATTTCACTTCCCTAAGGAATAGCCCGAGAAACTGTGATCACAAGACCATGATAGAAGTAAGAGCGTATACCAGAATAATCACTCACTTGCTAAACTCTGCAAGCCTTAATCTTGTTCTGTTATCTACAACACCCAAAGAGAACATGACAAAAGAGACTCCAGGAGAACATTCAAAATAGATAGCTCCCACTCTCAAGTTTCATTACTCCGGGCATCTTTTTCACCACATCTGCTCAGGAATCAGGGGTTTGTATGTCAAAGCCATTGGTATTTTGTTCTAGTTCTGTTCATGATTCCCATTCTCCCCATCAACTTCTCTCCACAACAGCATGCTTACTCAGCCTTTCAAAATGCACCAATTTTTAGTAAGTCTTCAAGAAATTTCAGAGTAGAACACATAAATCAAATACATGTTATGGCTGTAAGTCTCATATTACTCAATTTTGCTGAACTAGGTATACCCACAGGCCTATATTTAATAGTTATTTCTGATACCCCATTTCTCTTCACTGGCTCCTTGATCAGTTCCACTGAACATCTACCTTAGTATCCTATCTACATATACATATATATTCAGATCGACATATGTATATTACATGTATATATGTTTACATATACATGTGTCTTACATTGTACATATTGTCTATAAGTATACGTGTATGAGGGGTGTTTGCATTGAAGTAGAGTGTGCATATGGGGTATATATGAATGTAAGGTTATATGGTGTGTGTGCATGGGTTTGTGAGTATATATGGAATGTGGGTATGGGAGGATATAAGTGTATTCAGTGGAATGTGCATGTAGGGAAGGGGTGGGGGTGGTTTGTGTGTCCTTGCAGGTAGATATGGGGATATATGTGAGTGTGAGTCAGTATTTATGGAGTGGAAGGTGGTATATGAGTATGGATGTGAGTATATGGGCATACATATGTGGGTGAGTAATGTGGGTATGGGAGAGACAGCATGCTCTAAAGTTGGAAAATGTTTTCATATCAATTATTTACTTTCATCCTCAGAAGAAGCCTATAAGATAAGTCATTTTAAGTATCATCCCAAATTTGTAGATGAAGGAACAGGCTCAAAGAAGTTATAAATTTGTCTGAGTAATCTTAGACATTGAAGAAGGTAGAACCAAGGGCAGTCCTCTTTCTATTTTATCATGATGTTTCCAAAACTTTTCAATGCTTTCAGAACCCATAGTTTCACTAAAATTTAACTGTTGCCTCATAAGTTCCCCTCTCCTCTCCCTTTACCCCTCACAATCTCCTCTTAGTCAAACATTAGCACACCATAGCCCAAGAGCAGTTATTTCTATTACTTCATCATCAACTGGATTAGAGTACAATTCAGACCATACAAGGTATTGAGGTATACTATCATTGCTGCTGATGATAATGGCATTAGGGGTGGTGATGGTGGCATCCATGGAGGAAATAACTGTGGCTTTGCCTCAGGAAATTCATGGTCTCAAAGTACTGCCAAGTGGCCCAAACACCAATCTGGATTGTGGGAAAGGATTTAAGAAGAATCCATTACAGAATGTTAGAACACACTCAAGGTGTTACACAAGAAGTAGTAGAATCAGGACTAAAACGCAAATTTTCTGACTTCAAGTACAATGCAGGATAATAGTGCAGTTAGTTGTATTCAAAACTGGCTGAGATGGCACAGTGGATAGAGCACCGACTCTGAAGTCAGAAGGGCATGAGTTCAAATCTGGCTTCAGACCAAACACTTGTCACTTACTAGCTATGTGACCCCAGTTGCCTTAACAAATAAAGTAAATTTTGGGGCAGCTAGGTGGCACAGTGGATAGAGCACCGGCCTTGGATTCAGGAGGACCTGAGTTCAAATCCAGCCTCAAACACATAACACTAGCTGTGTGACCCTGGGCACGTCACTTAACCCCAAATGCCTCACCAAAAAAAAAAAACCAACAACAAAACCGGCTGAATAACCAGATGCAAAGAGCGGGCATTCTGCATTTGGTGTCAACACAAAAGGAGTTCTGTGGTAGGGTGCCCTTAGAAGATGGTGATTGATCCTGTGATGACATTTTTTACCAGCGACTTATATAATGAAATAAATGGCTCTAAGGAATAGTTAACACCCTGTGTGATATAGACAAGTTCCAAAAGGATATTTTAAAAATAAATTTTAACAAGCATTTATTAAGCCCTGATGTGTGCCAGATATTACAATAAGTACTTTACAAATATCACATTTTATCTGCACAATAACGCTGGCAGCTAGGTGCTATTATTATCCCCATTTTATAGACATGGGGAATGAACAGGTAGGAAGGCAAAGGTCAAGTGATTTGCCTAGGGTTAGTAAGTGCCTGAGGCAGGATTGGAACTCAGATCTTCCTGACTCTAAGTCCAAAACTCTATCTACTGTATCACCCTGATATTGATAGGTTGGAACATCATGCTGAATCTGATAAGGTGAAATAGGGATATCTGTAAAATCTTAAACTTCAGTAACACACCACCCTAGACACTACTACCTAAAGGCCAGATATATTGCTTTTCCATTCCACCCCCTAAGGAGTTCCATTAGCCATTAATAATCAGAAATATTTACTTCAGAAGGTATAATCACAAATATGTAAATTTACACCCCCAACATATGAGAGGCATAATCCTCCTCTTCCAGCGTTCTACCTGAGCCTCTGGGGAGGGGAAAAGGGTTATCTTCATAGCTTAGTTCAGTTCCTATAAAGCACAGTCCCAATTCCAAGTCCAAGTCACTCCTCAGGCTCAGGCTCCCTAGCCCCTCAAGACTTCTGAGGCTGACTGATTGCGCCATCCTGTCTGCAATCCTGTCTCCAAGGTCACTCCTGGATCCCACGGGGATCCCCTCCAGCCAGAAACTGAGGAGTACAAGTAACACAGAGCAGAAACAAACCACCACCACCCCCGATCCGCGCTCATTTCTGGGAGCCAAGGTAAAAAAGGATAGAACAGGAAAAGGAAAACCTTCCCTTCTCACCAAGTCAGTTCATGGCACCTATGCTGTGTGCGGGTGAACTATGACCTTCGCTCTCTCTAGGAGCAGGTAACAAAGTAGCTCAGAAAAGCACAGCAGAAAGAGATCGACTGGCTCATTCTCATCAGTTTTAAAGACAGACAGCTAATCAAAGGAGGCTGCTCTTACCCACGTGGTAGGGGATGCGGAGACCTCCATGTTAGGTGAGACTAGCACGCCCAGACAAGACCGAGTTACACTTCCATTTTTCAAAAAATCAATCTCACAAGTTCAATATGGAAGAGATGTGGTTATACAACACTTTATCTGGAAAAAAATTAGAGTATTTTATTAGCGCTCACACAATATGGGTCAATACTGCCGACAAGAAAGCTGCTGCAATCTCAGTCTTAGTGATGAGAGCCAGAGTTTGCAGAACTAGGGCAATGATGATCACTCAGTTCTCTGCCCTGGTTAGACCATATCTGATGTGTTGTGTTCAATTCTGGACCCCACATTTTCAGAAGGATAAAATAGAAAACAGAGAAGAGAAAAGCCAAGATGTAAAAGGGCCTCAAGTTCCTATAATATTCAATACAATCCTATCAATAAGCATTAGGTGCCTAGTATGTCAGGCACTGTGCCAGGCTTTCCTTCAACAAAGGTAAAAATGAAACAATTCCTAGACTCAAGGAGCTCACATTCTATCGGGAGAAACAATATGTACATACATACATATTTTTTTTAAAAAATAGTAATATGGAAGGAGTTCACTAACCACTGGGGGAAATCAGAAAAGGCTTCACATCAAAGTTGGCAGCACTCAGGTACAACAGTCTAGTCCAATAAGGCTTTATTGATGTGCATGACTATTCTAAATGCTGGGAAAACAGTATAAAAACCAAGACATAATGAAAAAATAGTCTGTGCTCTGAAAGAGCTTCATTGGAAAAAACCCTGATATTGGGAAAGATTGAAAGGAAAGCAAATGGAGATGGCAGAGAATGAGTTGATAGATAGTGTCGTGGAAATAATGAGCATGAGCTTGGACAGACTTTGAGAGATAATAGAGGACAGAAGTGCCTAGTGGGCTATGGTCCATGGGTTCACAAAGAGTCAGGCACAACTGAATGACTGAACAATAAAAAATGACTGAGGAAACAAAGGTTTGACCTTCCAAGCATATCGATTTATTAAGCAATGCGTGCCAATTACATAATAAGTCGGGACCAGGTTTCCTCAGTGTGACACTGGACCCCAAATATAGGAGGAGACAGTTATTTATGCATTAAAAGAAAACAATTAATGGTATATAAACCCAAATATAAAATTAAGTAATCTGTTGTTTGATGCTGTTATGATTTCTAATTGGAGGCAGGATTAGGGGCTTTCCAAATTGGGAGGGGGAGAGCAAGCAGGCGCAATTCCCTGAAACCCAAAAAAATGTGTCTCACTCTCCCCCCCTCACCCTGCAAGTGTCTAAATTCAGTCAAAGGACAATGAAAGCAATAACTGATTGACCAGTATGGGATAATTTTCAGATAAGACATATGGATTATTTGAGATGTATAAATATGAGGAAAAAAAAACTCCATGCATCAATCTTCAGATATGACTGGGTTTCTGGTCAGCATAGTGTAAGAACTTAGTTAAGATTCTCTAAGGAGCAAGTAGAGGAGGTCCAACTTCACAGTCACACAAGGCTGGGTTCGAACAACACAGTAAAATTTTCTCCCAGTTCCCACAATTGAATAAAGTTTTATCACAAGACAGAAATTGGACTAGATCTGAATAGAAAGGGAACTGACCTAGATCGAGCATAAGATGAAGACAGAGTGGTTCACTCAATTCTCATAATTCCCTCACCTGGAAGAGATATAATGAATAAACAAAGAAGCATAAACATGACAATTTGAGGAATGAAAGTGCATTAACAGCTGGGCAGATAAGAAGGGCTTACCAGAGGAGGTGGCACAAAAACAAACTGAAACTTGAACAACCTGAAACTTGAGCAGAGACTAGGCATTCTAAGAGGCAGCGGTGACAAGGCGGTGCATTCCAGGAATGGGGAACAACACAGAAACAGCAGCGGACAATGCTTTGCCAAGTTTAGAGATCTGCAAATAGGCTATTTTGTCGGCAACATGAAGTGGTACATGGTGCAATAAATCTGGAAAGGAAACTGGTGCCTTGAGGGGTTCACATTTTATCCCAGGGGAGCCTCAGAAGGTTCCTGAATGGGAGTGTGCTGTAGTCAGACTTGTGTTTAAAAAAATCGTTTCCAAGAGAACTTTGTGCACAATAACAGCCACATTGTGCAATGACTAATATTGATAAACTTAACCCTTCTCAGCAGTACAAGGATCTAAGACATCCCCAGAGGCCTCGTGATGGAAAATGCTAGCCACATCCAAAGAAAGAACTATGGAAGTTGAATTGCTATCTTTTTTTTCTCTTCTGTTGAGTTTTGTTTCCTCTTCCTAATGGTTCCTCCTATTGGTTTTAATTTTTATTTACAACTTCACTAATGTGAAAATATGTTTAATAGGGATGTAAATGTATAGCCTATATGAGATTGTGTGCCGTATTGGGGAGGGTGGTGGGGAGGAAGGGGGAGAAAAAATTTAAACTCAAAAGCATATGGAAGTGATTGTTGATAAATCAAAATAAATTAATAAAAGTTTTTAAAAAATTGTTTCAACAGCTGTGCTGAATCATCAAGAGCAGACACTTTAAGTTAGTTATCCAAATCAGAGTCTCTAGCAGTAGCCCAAAGGAGTAGGCAAAACTAAAACTCGTAAGTTCAGTTACTTTTTGCTTCTACTAGGAAGAGAGCACCGAGGCTTGCACCCAAGGCTTTTTCCATTCACAAATTGACCTTGGTAAGACAGTTCCAAAAGACTCATGATGGAAAATGCTATCCACATCCAAAGGAAGAACTGATGGAGTCTAAACACAGATCAAAGCATAATATTTTCACTTTGGTTTTTTTTTTTTGTAATTTTTTCATTTTGTTCTGTTTCTTCTTTCATGACATGACTAATATAGAAATATGCTGGGGGCAGCTAGCTGGTGCAGTGGATAGAGCACCGGCCCTGAAGTCAGGAGGACCTGAGTTCAAATTCAGCCTCAGACGGAATACTTGACATATCCTAGCTATGTGACCCTGGGCAAGTCACTTAACCCCAATTGCCTAAAAGCAAAAAAAAAAAAAAGAAATATGCTTTACATGATTGCACATATATAACTTATATCAAATTGCTTATTATCTTAGGTAAGAGGGAAGAGAGGGAGGACAGAGGGAGAAAATTTGGAATTCAAAATCTTATTAAAAATGAATGTTAAAAATTATCTTTACATGCAATTGGAAAAAATAAAATATCATTAGAATAAAAATTAAATTAAATAAGTAAACAAATTTGCATTGGTAGATCAACCTCCGTTGGTAGCGTGGACTGAGCAAGCTGGATGATACCAGCCCCAGTTTCATTCTCAGGCAGTCTGACTCTCCCCCCTGACTTCCACCTCACTTTCTTAATGTGCATTGGATGTAGTTTTTATCTCTTGAAAAATGGACACATTTGAGGAGGATATCACAGTCTTCCCAAGGCAGCTGGAAAGGTGAAAGTCACAAGCTGTAAAACAGAGCACTTTTTCCCAGTTTCTCCTCTTGGGTTCGAGCTTAAGTCTCTTTAGAGCTTTTTCTAGCTTACTCCATTATGGTCAGGGTCTGGGCATGTTCTCCACCACACATACCCCCAGATCTGTATATGGGCAAGACACAGGAGTGGAATCAAGATTTAGATAATGATGGGGGTTTTTATGATTAGTTTTATGTTAGAGGTTATAAACTAGTGTTTTGTAAATTGTCTATCTCGGTTGATTTCATAACATCCTCTTCTCCATCATTAGCAACAAAGGAAAATAGTTTTGTTTTTCTGTCAGGAGGGGACTGATTTTTACAGCATGAAGAATAAAGATGAGAAAGATAGCAAACTTTAAATGATCTAATTTTGCAAGAAGGTAGATGCTCTTAATTATGCACGTAATCATGAGAGCAGTTAGAAATGTTGAAAATGTACTGTTTCCCCCTCCCTCATTTTTTAGTCAGTGTATTATGGGATTTTCTTGACAGGTAACAGCCATTGTTAAAGTTAAGTGATTTAAAGCAGGAAGTTTAAAATAAGTATTGAGCAAAATAATTATTCCTTAATAGATAACTGGATTTTCTTTAGTATAAAATTCTTGAGGTCTATTTCTGTATTTTTTTATTTATTTAAAGAGTACAATTAATATGTGCTTGTCCTTTTTTTTAAAAAATGTGCTTCCAGGGGCAGCTAGGTGGCACAGTGGATAGAGCACCAGCCCTGGATTCAAGAGGACCTGAGTTTAAACCTGGCCTCAGACATATAACATTTACTAGCTGTGTGCCCTTGGGCAAGTTACTTAACTCCATCACCTAACCAAAAAGCAAAAAAAAAAAATGTACTTTCATTTTTAAGGAGAAAGTTTAATTTAGTTTGTGTCAAAATATCAAATTGTATTTGGCTCATGTTACAGCAAGAAAGTTGAAGCCATTGACAGTGAGTTCCTTCCTTGACTTCCCTTCCAATCATGTACTTCAAATGCCCCAAATATCATCTTCCATTATATCCTCCTTCTGTTCTAGACTCAAAGGAAAAGGTGGTCCTTCTTGCCAAGACTAACCGCTATATTTTTGTCTTTGATCTGCTTTCTTCTTATCTCATTTGAGGGTTTTCCCCCTTTAATCAATCTATTAATAAGCATTCCCTCTATTTTTCAAATCATCAATACTCTTTATACATTAGCTCCCTTCCCTGTTGACCACAAATATGCCTAATTCTACTTCTTTCAAAAACTTACTTGACTTAGATGCCTTCTCAAGTTATCATCACACAACTTCCCTCTCTTTCACAGTAAAGTGTCTAAAAAAAGAAAAGAAAAAAGAATAAAAAATCAATCAACATTAATTGCCTAAATTTTCTCACTTCCCACTCACTTCTCAGCTCCTTACAAACTAGATTCTAAGACTACTTACTCAACTGAATCTGCTCTCTTTAAAGTTACCAATAATCTCTTTCTTGATTGCTAAATCTAATGGCCTTTCCTCAGACTTCATGCTTCTTGAAATCTCTGTCCCTTTTGACGTTGTTGGCCACTCTTTCTTCCTTAAATACCCTCTTCTTCCTTCTTCCTTATTTTGTACTCAGAATCTGTGACTTGCCCATAAATATATATCCAATCACAATCCAAACTCAGCCAAGTTGGGTTGATTCTACTTCTTCATTACTCACACCCATCCCCATCTCTCCACTTATATGGTCAGTAGCACTTAATTCAGATCCTCATCACCTCTCACCTGGATTACTGTAAGAGCATCCTGCCTCAAGTTTATCCTCACCTCAGTTAATCTTTCACACATCTACCAAAGTGATTTTCCTAAAACACAAGTTTGTTTTTGTTTTTGTTTTTTATCTCAATCCCCTTTTTGAAAAGTTCCAATAGCTCCCTTTTGCCTCTGGTATTTTTGCCAGCATTCAAAGTTTACAATCTGTCCCCAGCCTTTGCTTTCCAGACTTTTACAAACATTACTCCTTTTATACACTCTGTGTTCTAGCTAAATTGGCCTATTTGCTATTCTTCCTAAATGACAGTCCACCTTCTATCTCCATGCCTTTGTACAGGATGTACCTGACCTGTGTAGCAATGGGTGAATTATCCTACTGAGGCCATCCTAGGGATTGTGTGCCTAGAGTTCCCTTGGAAACTTGTGGGGACTCCAGGGAGACAGTGACTCAGCATTTGGGCACATTGAAGATGAAGAACTCCCTGACTGCTTCCAGCCATAAAGTAGGCATGCATGCATGCATTTCAGGTTGCATGATAAAAGGGTACAAGACATTGCAGACTACTTTAGGAGTAAAAAATTCCAATATCTAAGTTAGAGATAGAAAAAATTCTTGTCCTTGAATTTCACTCCAAGATGTAGGATTCATATTCTTTTATGTTTTTCTATCTTGGAGGCAGATGGAAATGTCCCAGAGATTATGCCTTAAAATTATCTGAGTCCTAAGTGTGAGAATTTCTACAGTTTTCTTTTTTAGAAATGAATAACTTGAATCCTCTGAATCATCAGTGCACTAGCAACAGGTCTCATTATTTTGGTCAAATAATACTGAACAGAGGTCCTCAGTTCTTATTCTAGTTCTAGTACCAACTAGCTCTGGGACTTTAGGCAAAATATTTTACATATGTGGGCCTCAGTTTCTTCACTTGTAAAATGTGGGGATTGGACTCTAGTCTAATTGATCTTTAAGGTCTCTTCTGCCTCTAGAATTCTTTGGTTCTGTTCTAGACTCTCTGAGACCGGCTGAGGAAAAGCAAAACAGAGAAGGGGTCAGGGACTGCAATAGAAAAATACCTTTTTTCTCCTAGGTCATTAATGTGTACCTGAACACCTCTTCCACCCAAAGGATGTTGATATTATTAATTCAACTCAATTTAACATCTATATGTTAAATGTAGGCAGCTAAATGATATAGTTGCTACAGTGCTGGACTCAGGAAGACCTGAATTTGAATCCTGCTATAGACAATTACTAGCTGTGTGACACTAGGCCAATCACTTAACTTCTTTGTACCTCAGTTTCCCCATCAGTAAAATGAGAGGACTCGATCTCTGCAATCCTTTCCACCTCTAAGTCTAAACTTTATCTCTTGAAAAATGGACATGTCTGAGGAGGACACCACAGTTCTCCCAAGGCAACTGGACAGGTGAAAGTCACAAGCTGTAAAAGAGAAGACCATTTTTCCAGTCTCCCTCCCTGGGTTTGAGCTCAAGTCTCTTTAGGCGTTAGCAGTAAATGTCCTTCTCTGAGAACTCCAGGGGGCAACTGTGACATTTCATGAGGAGATTCAGAGAAAAATCTTAACAGTATCCCTTGGCTGAGGTATCCAATGGAAGACTTGCCTGGCAAGTGGCTAGGAGTTTGAATGGTGGCTATTCATTGTAGGAAAAGTCAAATGGTAGGAGACTAATGTGGTGAGCTGAGAATGACTGCCCTATGCCTTTTTCCCTTTGAGACCAAAATTCTTGGGAGTAGGGGTGTCAACCTACT